TAAAACTCTAACACAGAAAATACCTGTCTATGCTGCCCTAGAACGCCTCGTTGGAGATTTCTCTTTTTCAATTGTTTTCTTCCTGGGTACAGTGACGTGCCCATACCCAAATGGACCCATTGGTCCAAATGGACCAACCCGCGGACTTCCTCACACACACACTCTCAATCTTTTCTCAGCTGCAGCTCCACCGATTTCTCCTCCCTGAGAGGCTGTGAGTCTGTGTGTGTGTGTTCGGGCTGGGTTTCGCTGTGTCTCGCTGTCTCGCAGACGGCCACTGGGCTCATAGGGGGGGGGGGGGGGCAGGAGCTCCAACAAGCCGTTTAGGACAGAGTGAATACAAATACTATACAGAGATGCTGTATGAGAATCCAATGTGACCTTGGAAAATTGCACAATATAAATCAATGTTAGTAGACCTCAACAATGAAATTATGATCAGTAGAAATGGCCATGACATGGGAGCTTTAAGTACAGTACTTGAGTAAATGTACTTTGTTACACGGAAAATACTGAGCCACTATGTAACCTCACACTGGGGGGGTGCTCTTAAGATCAAGGTGTCTGCAATGAAACTACCATCACCTGAAGAAAGGCAACTTCAGATACAGAAAGTGTGTACTGTTTAAATATAAAGACTACCTGCCCATTCATGCTCTGGTGTGTCAAATCAATATTTCATTTATTATCTTTTATCCGACTATTTAAAACAAATATATACATGTGCTAACTTAATATCGTTTTTTGTAAAATGAGCAGTCATTATTACTCCTGTAATTTATTATGTTGTTTTCCTTTTAGGTCGGTGTCAGCTTACATCCCTTGACCAGCAGTGTCGGACACACAGAGCCTCCAGCCTGCAGCAAGAGCGCTGTCCAAAGACTTTCTCCTCATAGAATATATTTAATCAGTGCCGCTCAGACAATGCTACATCTACTGCAAACAAGTAGATAGCCTTGACTTTTGCCAAGAACAGGGCAGCTAATAGCAGCGCAACGATTAGGTGGACTGTAGAGGACCAAGATTCAAGAGAGCACTGAAGAAAAGACTCCTTTTCAAATTATTGTTTTTCCTCATTATCCCTTAAATTGAGCATCTTTGTTCTTCAACTGCAATCATGGGGGCCACCGGCTACGGTTACTATCGTGCGACCATCTTCCCCTGCATGTTCATCGGCTATGCGCTGTTCTTCTTCAACAGGAAGACCTTCTCCTTTGTCATGCCCTCTGTGATGGAGGAGATACAACTGGACAAAGATGACCTAGGTGAGACTGAAGCAATAATATAATTATGTTTTTGTTTGGTGCAATCATCAGGTGTGTTATTAGGTGGTAGTTCGACAAAAACATCGTGCATTAGGGCCTAAATATGCTTTATTTAGCTTCAAATTACACACAGTACAAATACATTAGCATGTACTGTAAACACAGACAACAATGCTTACAGGCTTATTCATACACAGTTGTATTATTTTGCTGATGTCTTGAATTGTCACCTTTATCACCACACTTGACCTCAGTGAATAGCCTTTGCTAATAGCTTAAATGTTCAGGTGCAGAACAATAGAGAGTGTACTGAATATTGTAATATTAAACTGACCATTACTATCAAACACATTGTTGCTCTGCGCTAAATGCTAATATAACTTGAAAATGCATTTCCTGCAGAAAATGCGTGCGAATGCTGTAAACTGTGAACATTTATGACTGAATTTAGCTGAAAATGCAGAAAAAGCTGAATATGTTATTAGCTGATTGGTAGCTGCTTTTAGCTACAAAAATGCAGAAAAAGCTTAATATTTAAAAGAAAAGGTTTAAAAAAAGGTATAAACAACAACTCATATAGCCTTGATGTCCTGAAATAGCTGAATAATGTAATAGTTGAATGGTTTCTGCAGCTGAAAGTAAGCTGAAGTTATGGAGAGCTAAAGTATTGGCTGATTTGAAGGCTCTTCCCATAGAGTTCAATGTTAAAAAAAAGAGTTTAAAAAGCTGAATATTTCAAAAAGTATAAAATATTTTGAAAAAGTTGAAGGTTTCCCATCGATTCCTGAACAGGCTGAATAGTTTAATATTTGAATGGTTTCTGTAGCTGAAAATAAGCTGAAGTTATGGAGAGCCAAAGTATTGGCTGAAATAATAATAATAAGGGGAATAAAGATTTGAAGTACTATAGTGGAATGCTGTAAACAGCATTCGCACGAATAAAGATTTGAAGTACTATAGTGGAATGCTGTAAACAGCATTCAGACTAATAATAATAATAAGGGGAAGAATAAAGATTCAAAGAACTATAGTGGAATGTTGTAAACAGCATTCACACTAATAATAATAATAAGGGGAAGAATAAAGATTCAAAGAACTATAGTGGAATGTTGTAAACAGCATTCGCACTAATGAATGCTGACATGCTCACAGTCAGTTAAAACATGAACTAAAGTTTAAAAGTTTGACCTGATAATAGTGCTTGAAAATTAGTCAGATTGTCTATACTATACAGTGTAAGCTATTACAATTAATCAATTGGGAGTCATGAATCTCTGAAATCCATCTCATAGTTATAGTAGAGATATCTCTCTCTACTACAAATGCCAACCTACTGGTGGTGCTTTAGTAAAAGTCAGAGGATCAGAGTCGGTGAGATTCATCCTCTGCGAACCATGAGTGTCAAACCCCTCCTGGGAGGGAAGCCGTCACAGAAGCAAAGGCCCCAGAGCTACAGCCCCTGTCTGTATGTGCAGTTTCTCGGTGCGTTGTTCTAACAGTAACTGTCATGGTTTCCCTGCAGGTCTGATCACCAGCAGCCAGACCATGGCCTACGCCATCAGTAAGTTCATCAGCGGCGTGCTGTCGGACCAGATCAGCGCCCGCTGGCTCTTCTCCATCGGCCTCTTCTTGGTGGGGGGCATCAATGTGGCCTTCTCCTGGTCCTCCACGGTCCCCATATTCTCTCTGCTCTGGTTCATCAACGGCCTGGGCCAGGGTTGTGGCTGGCCCCCATGTGGGAAAGTGCTGCGCAAGGTAATAGCATCCTCTGTGCCACGTCCTGCAACACAGAGATATTCCGTATAATGTTCACTGCCAATGGTATTCCCACTCTTAATACTTCGTGATGCCTTAAATTACATTGAGCAGCTAGTGTAAGGGTGTTAAACAGGAGTGGGAACCACCTGCTGCGGCATTGGCCCCATTCCAAACCAACCCCTACACCAGGGGTGCCCAACCTTTTTTGAACCGAGAGCTACTTTTAAAGTTGCCAGTCTGCAGAGAGGAGTAGCCATTACTGACAGACCTACTACCAGGTAAATACACACTTCTACTTGTATAAAACTGACCTTTGTACGATTCAATACTTCATAAAATACTGCAGGTCCTTTATCTTACCTCTTTCTAATCTACACACATACAAGTATTTAACTGAAGTTACACAACAGTGTTGTTGATACAGAGTTGGAGTTTATTCACACGTCACATACTACAGTGGGTAATGTTTTCAAGAAACATTGAACAGTGCTGCCACATATGACACAGGAAAAAAAGAAAAGACTCTGAACCCTTTCTTT